AATCAAGTTGAAACGGTAAGTCAAAGAAAATTCATTCAAGCTAGCTCAGGAAATTAAATACTGACTTAAATCGCAAGATGACAAGTCAGTGACTTAATTAGCTCAGTTGAATTAAACTTAGATATTCCAATCCTTCAAGTCTTACAGTCAGATGAAGTTAGATGGAGAGAACTTCATCTTAGTTGAAAGTCACAAAAGTCGCAATATTTAAATTAAACCGAAATGAAAGGGTAAGTGTTATGCTCCAGAAACAATGTAATTTTAATATTTACCTCTGACTTGTCCTTGAGATTCCAAAGAATGACCTTACCTATCTAAACTGTTATCAGCAGTTGAACAATCAGGACGTAGGCAACTTTGAAAGTCACAAATTTGAGAAGATAATCATCTCTTAAATCAACACCATTGTTCCCCTTGGAATAAACGAAAGCCTCTCATGTATTCAGTTAATCTCGTCATATATCACCGTTACCATATTATCTAGAAAGGCACCGCTCCATTCTCTACTATATTAAAACTCACACAGCTTCGAGTCCCCATATTTTCTCCGACCAAATGTCCAACACTCGAATGGTTCGGATGATTGACTTGTGTTCGCAACACAGCCGAGGAATCAAAATTTCCGCCTAGGTGATCTTTTTCTACATCTTCAAATGGGATGTGTTATGTCTGACTTGTGGGTTGCCAGATCTCAAATCATCTCCAGGAGTAAGCCACAATAAAATCAATTTCTTTCACAAAGGAACAAACATCCCTTGAATTTGCCTTGCTTCAAATGAAGACTTAATTAAAGCGGTTGATGGTAGTTCCTGACGCAACTTTTGCAAGCAAAGCCCTATCCAAGCCTAATTAACTGTCTATGGTGCTCATATTGGTTTCGGGAATTCTTTAATTTTCGTTTGACAGTGCGGATAAATTTGTCATTCCGAATAAACAGCATACATACAATTTCCACACAAACGACAAAAGTTTGCCGGTGTTTCGCAAACAGAAGGTTTTTAAATATTGCAAGATGGATACGTA